GGGGGAGGAGCAGAAGGAGGGGGAGGAGGAGGAGGAGGAGCGATTTTTGTTATCGCCACCGCACGTCTTGAAAGGATTGGGCGCTTCGCATGGACATTGTTTGGCGGTGGGGCCGGCAGCAGCCCCCAACCTAAGACAGGCAATGACTAATTTTACAAACGCTCGGGAGCAGCCTGTTGGGAGTCTTCGGGGCTCCTGTGGCAGCTTCTTGGGGGCCTCTTGGGGATCTCTTGTGGGGGCATGCTGGGTGTCTTAGGTTTTGGGGGCCTGAATGTAGGGGGAAGAGCCTGGGCCCCCTGCGAGCTCCCGCTCTTGGGCCTCTCTTGGGCTCCTCTTGGGGCTCTCTTGAAAGCCTGTTGGCTACTCTGGGGGCCTCTTGAGCAGTCTCGGTTCCCTCCTGGGCCATTCCGGGGCTCTCTTGGGGGCCTCTTCGGCCGTCTTGGGCCAGTCTGTGGACCTTCTCGGGTCGTCTCCAGCTTTCAGAGCCCTGAAAAGGCGAGACTGAGAAACTCATTTAGCAACCCTCGGATAACCGCCTGCTTTTACACCTTGACGCCGTCTCGGGGTCATCTTGGGTCCTTCGTTGGGTCCTGAGGCCATCCAGTCTCTCATTGGCGCTCTCAGCTTCGCCCACACGCCCACACATGAGGTGGTCGATTTACTTTGCGCGTGTCCTGTCTCAGTGCTGGTTGAACCGTCGATTGCAGCCCATCGGCGCGCCAGAATAACAAGTGTGTGTGTGCGCGCGTGTTAGTAGACACCTAGCTGTGCGCGCCTCCTTGTGGAAGGGGACAATAGTCGATGTGTGTGTGTGTCGCCATGCAGCAGTTGCTGGCTTAGCTTGCGATTTTCGGGGCGCGCCCGCATTTCCCATGCGTCTGAAGCATTGACGTCCGCGATACCAAACGTGTGTGCGCGTGTGCGTGTGGACCTTTCTACGCCGCGACGCCGAGCGCGTGGCTGCGATGCCGAAAAGTGTGTGTGTGTGTGTGTGTGTAAGTGTGTCTAAGTGTGTGAAAGTGTGTAAGTTTGTAAGTGTGTGTGTGTGTGTTTGTGTGTGTGAGTGTTTGTGGCCACGCGTCTTTCGCCAGCGCAGGGATTATGCCTAGCCGCCGACGCAAAGTGTGTGTGTGTGTGTGTTGTGTTGTGTGTTGTGTGTTGTGTGTTGTGTGTTGGGCGGGTGTGTGCGTGTTTGTTTGGAAGTGTGTTTGTGTATGTAAGAGTGTGTGTGTGTGTGTCGGAAGCTGGAGCATGTACATTGCCAGTGTCGGGTTGTTCTTCAACCCCAAGACTTTCTGAGGGTCGGGGACGACGTCGGTGTGATGTGTTGTATACTGGTTTCCCTGCTTTCCCGGGGAAACAGCGAAACATGTATACACCAGGATCTCGCATACACCAGGATCTGCTTTCCTGAGCGAGTTTCAGTGCGGGGCTGGAAAAAGCGTCGGTGTACAGACTTCGGCTCCTGATAAGTGTGTGTGTGTGTGTGTGTGTGTTCCGCGCTGTGTTTTCAGCCTTGCATGCCGTACATTGAATGCTGCGTGCCTTCGCTGTCCCGACGGACGCGTGGAAGGGGCAACTCGGTACCTGTCCCAGGGGCTACCCCGTGATTTCCACGCACTTGCGCATGCCGGGATATGAGAAGCTGTTCTCCAGAGACAGAGCCTGGGAGCAGGGCGCCGATCGGCCTGTGTTGGATCCTCTGGGCAGCCCCCCCCTCCTCCTCCTCCTCCTCCTCCTCCTCCTCCTCCTCCTCCTCTCCTCCTCCTCCTCCTCTCCTCCTCCTCCTCCTCCTCCTCCTCCTCCTCCTCCTCCTCCTCCTCCTCCTCCTCCTCCTCCTCCTCCTCCTCCTCCTCCTCCTCCTCCTCCTCCCCTCCTCCTCCTCCTCCCCCCCGCGCAGCGACGACATCGGCCTCTCCGTCCTCCCTGGCCCGCTCGCAAAGGCCTCGCCGCCTCGCTTCCTGCTCCCCCCCCCCGCTGTGCGACCCCCCCGTGCGGCCCCCCTCCTCGGGACGCGCGGCGCCTGCTGGGGGGCACTCGGCGCTCGCGCGCCGGGGAAGGTCGAGTGCTCGCGCGCCGGGCTGCGCCGTCACAGTCTCTTGCCCTGTGCTGCCAGATCCCTTTTTAATCCGGCCTCGTCCTGGGCCCTGGCTGAAACGACGCGAAGATCGAGACAAAATCGGATCGGGATAACTCGAAATCTCTGAGAGTCGGCGGGTTTGGAGGATGTATTGGGCGCCGCGGCCGCTACAGAGCGTTCCGGAGCGCTCTGAGAGCGCTCCGGAACGCTCTGGAGCGATTTATCCGGATCCTAGCCCTGTTTTGCTGACTCCGCATCCGCCCTACTTTGGGGAAATCCGCAAGTAGGGCTTGGAATTTCCGCCTTGCTTTTCAAGCCCCGCGGATGCCGATTTCCGCCCTATTTTTCTGTTGCTGTTTCCGCCCTTTTTCTGTGGATTTCCGCCCTACTGTATGTTGGGTGCAGAAATTTCCCGCCCTATTTTTTCGGCTTTTGGAAAAAACCAAAGTAGGGCGGATCTGGAGTCCGGAGGAGGCATCTGTCTTAATCCGGTTTCATGGGCCATAATTTGGCCCAGTCGTTTTTTTTTTTGATCGGTCTCACGAAGACCTGCCAGAAGGATGCTGTTTCTCGGCGGCGAGCGAGGGGCTGAAGCGAGAGGGAGAAGGCCTTTTCAGAAGGCTTGGAAGTTCTCCAGCCATCTGAGAAGTGTTCTAAGCCTCCCCCGAAGACGCAACGCAAAGTTTTCACAGAAGGCGCGAGGTCTTCCGAGAAGTCCCGCCGCCTTCTGAGATGGGCTTCTCCTTCTCTGTTCCCCCCCCTTGCTCGCCGCCGAGTTTCCTACAGTGGAGGCCCATGCCAAGAAACACCCTGCTCGCTTCCAGGATTCCCTGGGTGTCTTGGGTTTTGATGGTTGCGTGACGCTCCCACGCCAAAGATCAAGGCACGTCCTGGGGTCTCAGGGTTGGGCTTCCTGTGGAAGGGTTCTTGCGGTCGGGCCCACACTGTAACAAAGTGCGGTGGGGTGTTCGTGTTGGAACCTGCTGCTATTCTCAGTCTCTGCGGGTCCCTCGAGCTTGCGAAGAAGGCACACCGATGCGAGTCCAGGTGTTCGCTGTCTTACATCAGGGTTTCTTCTTTATCGCAGCAGTGAGTGTGCTTTCTTGGGGCGACTGTTGCCTCGAGCTGGCCTGCGGACTGCGGCGGCACAGCATTGGCCCGGCAGGGCCCACTGGATAGCGCGTGCCGGTCTCGAGGGTTTCAGAAAGTTCCCGCTGCAGTTTTCATCGGATGCATTTTCTGACCCAAGTGCAACCGAACGGTTCTTCCTGCGATTGCTTGGCAATGGTTTAGCCGTGAGGGGTGATATCGTTTTCCTCGGGCGCGTTTAGACAGGTGAGGTCTGCATTTGTCTCAAGCCTCCCTAGACCAAGTTGCGATGGAATCGCTGGGCTCGGCTTCTGTCCCATGGCGCAGCCCCCAGGACAGAAACACGTGGTCGTAGGCGCGGTTGACTCTGAGCCCCCAGGTGAAAAGGATGCATCTGGTGACACTGGGAGCGAGATCAAGGTAGAAAGTGCAACCACTGACGACCCTCCGGGGAGAGTCAAGAAGGACGATAAGGCTGACGAAAGCAAGAAGGATAAGGATGGCAAGGATGAAAAGTTGAAGAAGGATAAGAAGGACAAGTCACATAAGAAAGACGCTAAGGAGAAGAAGGATAAGAAGAGCAGTGCAGAAAAGCTGGAGAAGAAAAAGCAGCTACTTGCTTTGGGGGAGGACGCCCCGAAGGGCCATGCTGCCTATGGCAGGGTTCATTTTAGCGCTCCCAAGAACAAGTTCTTCTTCACCCAGGGAGCACCGCCGAACAAGATAGAGGTGGCGGTGAGCGTGAGCATGGCCAACGGCAGCGAGGCCATGGCGGGCAGGATCGCCCGCCTCTGCTACGTGCGGCTGGTGGACCACGGCGCCAGCAAGGAGGAGCTGGTACAGTACAGGGACGACCTGCTGAAGTTGTCCAGGAAAATCCCCGTCGGCCCGCCGCTGGCGCAACCCTCGGGGGAACATCTCGGGAATGAAGCGAGGGAGGAGCAGGAGGAGGAGGAGGAGGAGGAGGAGGAGGAGGAGGAGGAGGAGGAGGGTGCCGACTCCTGACCCAGGACGCTGTGGAGGGGCTGAGGCTGCCCCGCCATTGCCTGCAGGTCGGCTTGCTGAGCGCTCGAAGGAGTGGCCAACGCAGCCCTGGCCTTGGCAACCTCCGAATCCAGCAAGGGGATCGCCGCCGCCGCGTCGCGCAGCTGCCTCTTGACCAGGACTTTCTCCTCGAGCTCCTCGAAGGCGGTGCTTGGCGTGCTCCTCTTCCTTCGCGTGGAAGCACATCTTCAGGGCGTAGCGATGCCCGAGCGACTGCCTCGGCCTTCTCGAGGTCGGACTTGGCCAGCTGGACGAGGGGGCAGTCGTCGTCGTACCGACGACTGCGCAGGGATGCCAGCGCCTTCTTGCACTTGGCGACCTCGTCGGACTCAACGCCCATGCTGGTCTCAAAGCCTGTGGACTTGCCGCCGAAGGGACGATAACGTGGGAGGGATGGGCGACGCTCACCGCGAGGGAGAGCAGCGTCGAGACGACCCTCGCGATCCCTGCCACAGCGGCACCACGCCGTGCGCCCCTCGGAATCGTTGGCGAGCCCGCACTGCCTGTGGTGGCCCTGCAGGCCCAGACTTGCCGCTTGCCGCTTGCAGGCGAGGACTGCTGCTGCTGCTGCTGCTGCGTCGCCCACGGTGCCAAGGTGAACGGCATGGCGCCTTCGCCGTGATGGCCAGCTAAGACCGCGAGCGCCCTCCGCCCGCGCAAGAAGAGCCGCGCCCAGGCACGCCACCTGGGGGCGCGACGGTGCCAAGCTGGCGATCGGGATCTAGAGCGACACGCGGGAACACCGCCGCCCGAGGAAGCGGGCTCACGGCTGAGTTCGATCAGCGGGTCGCCCCAAATGACCACGCTCGACGCCGCCTGCCAGAGGAGGAGGGGGAGGGGGAGAGGGAGGGAGAGGAGGAGGAGGAGGAGGAGCAGCAGGAGGAGGAGCAGGAGGAGGAGGAGGAGGAGGCGGATGATGATGAGGAGGAGGAGGAGTGGGAGGAGGAGGAGGAGGAGGAGGAGGAGGAGGAGGACTGGAGTGGACTGGAGCGCTTACGATCCTGGGTAGTGACGCCTAGGGTGCAGCACTATGCTACCGCGCAGGGAATATGTAAAGGATCTGCGAATTGCGATTAGCGGAGCAATAACCTGCGACTCCGCTGGGGGGAGTCCTATGGCCCTGAGCAGGACCACCCATATGGGGAAGACCCGCGATGGCCTGCAGGGGCACCATCCTCCCAGCAGGCGCACTGGGGAGAGGAGTCGTAAGTCCACCCCAGTTTGATCCTACGTAGCCACCACCCAGCAACGACGACGAACAGAGAACGCAAGGAGGGGGGAACGACGGGCGAGAGGAGGGGGGACACACGCACCAACACACGCACGCACACCCATGCACCACACGAGGCCAGGAGAAGAAGAGAGCAAACAACAGCAACAGCCGCGGGAGAGAGGAGGGCAAGGAGAGGAGGAAGCAAGCAGACCAGCGGAGGGGGCAGTGGCTACAAACCCCAAAACATGATGTCTCAGAGTCCGGAGCCCGCGCTCAGCTGTTCAGTTTTTCCAAGTGAAACGGGGGCCGTGCTGCTGAAGAATGTTCATCAATGTCCAATCTTCCAAGGCAAACTCCAATCGTGTAACCATGTAGCGACCGAGGTCTTGAAGAGTGAAAGGGCAAATGCCGTACTCCACCACCATGTCAAACGAAAAGTCAACCCAATTGATGTGGCGTGCTATATTCCGTATGTCCTGTGCACTGATATTAATATCCCATCAATTTCTTCGGAAGAGCAAATCAGAGTGTCGCTTTTTAGATCTTCCAGACACGGCGGCGAAGCAAGCGCCTCGAAGGCCCACGAGACGAAGGTAGCATATTGCTGCGTGACGCTAGCCTGATCTTCAAGACATGGTGGCGACGCAAGCGCCTCAAAGGCCCACGAAGTGAAAGTGGCATACTGATCCGTGAGAACCTGAAGCTGAACAGCCGCCTTCTCGGCCAACTCTTCCGCGGCCTTCAAGTCCCCCTTGAGGTCAGGAGAGGCGCACTCTTCTCTATCGAAGTCCCTGTCTATGATGCCAGGAGGCGCCCTATACAACAGAAACTTGATATTCATGCCAGCTGCCAAGCATTTTCGGGCGTGTGTGCAGCGGGCGCGAGCTCGCCGACAGGCCGATGCCGATGTAGGAGCCGTCAGAGAAATGGTCGCACACGAGGGCGGCACAATACCAAACTGAGGATCAAACTGAGGCTCGCGAACACCTTGCATGACGACTCCCAAACCCCGACAGCAAGGATGGCCGGCAGTCGCGTGTTTCTCCCGTGATGCCCCTGGCGTAAGAGAGACAATCCAAGAAGAGAAATGCTATGCAACGGAGTGAAGCACCGAAGGTGTAAGTGGGCAGGGGGCGGTGTGATTCGGTATCAGAAATGCGCCCTGGGAGCCAGGTGCTTAGGAGGAGGAGGAGGAGGAGGAGGAGGAGGAGGAGGAGGAGGAGACCGTCGGAGCGGCGCGGCCTGCCACGCAGGAAGGCGCCGCCGCGGCTGGCGGCGGCGCGCCCGGCGAGGGCGACGCCGCGAAGAGCGCCCGGAAGCAGCCGAGGCCGACGGGCGAGGCGGCGGCTGCCACCGGCGACGGCGCGCCCGGCGACGGCGGCGCCGTGAAGAGCCCCCAGCATCGGAGGTTGCTAAGGGTGTCCGCTGGCCTTATGTCGGGCATGCCCCTCTACAGGAGGAGAAGTCAAAATTAGGCAAAACATCGTATGGTGGCGGTTTTTTATTTGTAATTTGGATGATTTTTGTTGGATTGACTTTTTTAGTTTGTCGTCCCACATCCTCCGGTAGGAGGACATGCCCCACCTGACCCTGGCCCATCTCCGCAGGCGACTTCTCTCTCCCATGCCCTGGGTGATACCCCGAAAAGTGTGGGCCCTCAGAACGAGGGGGCGAGCCCTGGGATGCACCCTGAGGGGGGGGGGCTCTCCGGACGCACCCCCTATCGAGGATGGACGCCCCCCCATCGTATATCCCAGGGTTGGGACCCAAATTTTTGGTCCATTCGTAAACCCCACGAAGCTTGGGATAGAGGTCGACTTGTGCAGTCCAAAACCCGGATAGCAGGGCGCCCGAAGGGCGTGGAAAGGCCTGGCGAAGCACTCTGAGAGGCCTTCCGAAGGGCCTGGAGAGCTTCCGGGCGCGCGTCCTGGGAAACGCTATGAAAAAAGCCCTGCAGGGACCCGCCAGAATCCCGAGCAGGGCGCTCCAGGGAGCCTGGACCGCTGCCGAAACGAGCTCTGGAGCCACCCTGCGGCTCCGGCTTCTTCATCTGAAACCCTCTCAGCTCTCTGCGAGTTATCTGGGAACAGATCCCCTCTCATGGCCCACCTCTGAGATCCCGGCGTGTAATTTTTGCTCGCGCGGGGCGTTTCTGCCCAGGTTCGGACCCAGGGGCCCTCGCAGGTCGATCCGGCTCGAGCAGCGGCGCAGCAGGACGGGGTCCTGGGGCTCTGGTCGTGGTTTTGGTGCCATCTTGCAGCGCTTTTGCGCCGTCGGCTCTCGGGGGTGGTGCCCCCAGGATCTCCTTCGCGGAGGCCCCCGCGGCCTTCAGAACATATGTGCTGCGAAGCCCGGGGGGCCCCGAGGGGCTTCAAGATGGCGCGACAAGATCTTCCAGGCCTCCTGGATGGGGTCGGAGCTGATGGGGTTCGGAGGATCGTGCCGCATCGCCGATGCATCGGCGATGCGGCTCCATGCGGAGCCCGGTTTTCTGCACGCAGGCGCCGCCGATGCATCGCCGGTGCATCGCCGATGCATCGCCGATGTAGCACCGAGGCGGCGATCCTCCGTCCCCGTCTGCTCCGACCCCATCGAGGAGGCCTCTGAAGCTGGAGACACCTTGTCAGAGCCCCGAATCATCAGGGGTTACTCGGGTCAGGGCTAACTCGGGTTCGTTTTTCGGGAATCCGAGCCCGAGTTGCCCCGGATAATTCGGGCGTCCAGAGCCCCGAATCATCAGGGGTAACTCGGGTCAGGGCTAACTCGGGTTCGTTTTTCGGGAATCCGAACCCGAGTTACCCCGGGCCCGAGTTACCCCTGATAATTCGGGCGCCCAACCTTGGGCCAGGAGCACCCCTGGCACAGCCCCCGGGCAGAAGCGGAAGAGGCCTGCGGCCGAGGCGGGCCCCGACGGCTGCGCCGCGGCGGGCGCCGGCACGCCTGGCGAGGGCGGCGCTGCGGGGGGCCCGCAGAAGCGGAAGTCGCAGACAACAAAAACGTCGTGAAGCATCGCCCGCCAAAGGCACCCCAGTCCAACCCGAAGGCCCCGATTTGCCCTCCATTTCCAGGGATGGGGGGGTCGGGGACCATGAAAGACACATATGCAGCCCGTCCCCCCCCCCAAACCAGAAATTCGGGTCTTCGGGTTGGGTTGGGGTGGTCTGGTAGGTAGGCAATAAACATAAACTTTTGGCGCTCTGCGCGGATTCCTTGGATCTGCGCTGGGCCCCCCTGGCGGCGCCTCTGGCGCCGCCCCTGGCGCGCTCCGCGCGCCAGGGAGGGGGTCCCCAGCGCGGATCCGAGGAATCCGCGCGGCCCTTCGAGTTTTTATGTTCATGCCAGTGTTCGCTCCCCCATCCAGCTCCAGCTCCAGCTCTAGCTCCGCGCGCCAGGGAGGGGGCCAGATCCAAGAACTCCGCGCAGAGCGCCGAACGTCATGTTTGTTGTCGTGCTGTCTTCACCGAGCGCGCTCCACCACTCGCAAAGTGCCTCCTCGCAAACGTCCGGAAGCGCGTCTTCCTCTTATATGAGATGTCTCGCAAATCCCCCGCGGCGCATCCAGGCAGTTTGCGAGTAGCTACTTTGCTTGCGAGTAGTGGAACGCGCTTGCCGATCTCTCCTCCAGGGAGCGGGGCGCCAGGGAGGGGGCCAGATCCAAGAACTCCGCGCGGAGCGCCAAACGTTATGCTTGTTGTCGTGCTGCCTCCTCCAGGAAGCGGGGCGAGAGGGAGAAGGCGCCCCCCGGACCGGCGGGGAGCGCTGCGCCCGGCGAGCGCCCCCCCGCGGAGGCGGCTCCCACGGGAGGCGTGAGCGGCCCGCGGGGCGCGGGGGACGGCGACCGCTCGGCGCTGCTCGAGGACGCACCCGCCGGCAGCAAGGCGTACGCGGCGGTCACCGGGGAACGAACTCACCCCCAGCCCAACCCGAAGGCATCACTTTGCCCTCCATTTCCAGTAGGGGGGGTCGGGGAACATTGAAAAGACACATGGAACCCGTACCCCCCGCCAACCCGAAATTCGGGCGAAATTCGGGTATTCCGGTTGGGTTGGGGTGGTTTGGTAGCTAGTCACGAGCAGTGACATGAACATGCAAACTCACCGAGCGCGCTCCACTGCTCGCAGAGTGCCCACTCGCAAACGCCCAGAAAACACCTGTCTGCTTTGGTGTAGTTTCATCCTGTATCCCCCGCGGCGGATCCAGGCGATTTGCGAGTAGCTACTTTGCGAGTAGTGGAACGCGCTCGTCAATGAACATAAAGACTCGGAGGTCCGCGCGGGTTTCTCGGACCCGCGCTGGGACCCCCCTCCCTGGCGCGCGGAGCGCGCCAGGGGCGGCGCCGGAGGCGCCGCCAGGGGGGGTCCCAGCGCGGATCCGAGAAATCCGCGCGGACCTCCGAGCTTATATGTTTATGCCATTGCTCACTCCCCTAGGTCAAGGTCCACGGCAAAGGCAGGGTCCACTTCTTCTTCACCGCGGGCGACGGCCAGAAGTTCCGAGTGCAGGCCACCGCGAGCGGCTGCGGCGGCTCCATGGAGCAGGCCGCGCGCGTGGCCCGCCTCTGCTACACCAGGGCC